GTTCCCCCCCCCCCCCACCCCCACCCCCCCGCTGCCGTGGCTTTCACGTGCTTGGTGATATTTTCAGAGTCTTGTACTTTGTGTCCACAATGGTACTGAACTTGCATCTGCACAGTCAGGAGATAGAAAGTACTGACCTGATCTTGCCACATGCTTAGTGGGCGATTTGTAATTAAGTTTATAGACTCAGAGTATGCTGGGCCGTTTGGAATCAGTGAAAAAGCGAAAGTTCTACTTGGAAAAAACCACAGACACAGTTGTGTTTTACAGAAGTGTGTGTGTCCCATCTCCCACCTCCAGCTCTTCAAATCCTGGGACTCTGTCAGAGAGTCTTGGTTCAGTAGCACATGGCCAGGCTTTTTCATGGTAGAAAGTGCGTATCCTGGCTAAGGACTTCCCTCTCCTCACCCACAGTGTTGCAGGTTGTCTAGTTGTCTTCACGCCCAGACCACCAAATTCGGTTTCATTCTTAATTTCTCCACTTTACTTTGGGGTCCATTGGTTCTGAAGGGAAACAGGCATGAGAAATTTTCCTAGGTACCATGCTCACTGCCACATAACTCCGCCAAAGACTGTGGCTGAATTGCACAGAATTAGGTCTCCCGCCCTCCTCTGAATCTTCAAACCCCCCTCCCTTGGCCAGTCCATAGACTGAGGATGCAGTCGCCAGGCGTTTGGAGATGGTATTGTTCATGGAGAAGTTGCCATACATGCTTTTCCATATTCTTTCTTTTGATATCCAAACCTAACCTGAGCGGATGGTGACTCAAGTGGGTGTGGCCCTGCCTCTTGGGCAGCCCCCCGGGCAAGGGCTTTCAGCCAGGGCAGGAGTCACTGCCTGAGCCTCAGGGGCACAGACTGCTGGCAGGGTTGTAATCCGGCTGCCTTGTGGAGAACTGGTCTGGGGAGGAAGCTGTTCCAGCAAAGAGCAGTTTTCTCTCCGGCTCAGACAGCTATGGTGTGCCCCTGAACAAGCCTTCGTACACCTGAACTTTCCCCGTAAGTCATTTCTTCAATACGAGGAAACGCCAAACATTATGTACAGAGACCTATGTACAAAAGGCAAACCTTTTTAAGCTGTGTAATCCACCCTAGTCTAATCTGTCTAGCTGAAGGACCGTGGGTAGGGTTCATTTTGCAGGGACAAGCCTCTATCACCATCATAGGTTTGATTGGACGTCGGCAAAATTTACTTCCGTGGTATTTAGAGCTGCTGTACCTGTTCCTTGACACAAAATCGGGCGAGTCAATAGTCTGTTAGTTATCTTTCAGGTTGATGGCAGTCACTTAGAACATGTGTGATATTCTCTACCTGGTCTGTAGCTGTAACTGTGATGTACAGGCAAAGCAAAAATTAAAAAAAAAAAAAACCTATGAAAAACAAATAATGCAATGATATTAGGATATACACTTTTGTATTTTTATTCTTATATAAGATTATTTGCTGGCTATTGTTGGCCTCTAATTCAGTCTGTGTTATTTAAAATCTAATATATGAATTATTTGGATTGAATTCATGTTTGGGGCCAGGTTGTTATATGTATTGATGTACAGCCTTGAATGTGAATAATTATTGTAAACTATATTTTACAACTTTTTCTCTGGCTTTATTATATAAATTTTCTATTTGGTCGATGATTTAATCATATCATAATTTAATGAATCTTTTTTCCCCCAAAATATTTGTGCTTTAGATGTAGTTGCTGGATGATGAATTTTACACATATGCGAGGTAGTCTTGTAATAAAAAAGCATGAAGAGTGTAGACACTCGCTGCATAGCTTTTCCTTTGGCCGGGGATCTGGAGTGGGCGTGACCTGGATTTGGGCCAGAGCAGCTGTCAGTGCACAGCACACACTGGACTGAGGCCGGTGAGCTCATCTTGAGCCCCAAGCCAGTGGGTCGCAGGCTGCATGCACATGGCTGGGGGGGCATGGGAGATGCACAGCCTCCCACTTTTCCGGACTTGCACCTCAAGTGAGGCGGGGGCTGGCACTGGATGTGCTGGACAGCTCGGACGACCTTAGTAAAGGCCAGTGCTGCTGGTGCAAGGTAGCAAGGCTTGCTGGAATCACGGCAAAGAATCTTAGCGAGCTGCTTCCCCTGCTGTATCCCAGGACTGGGTGCCTGGCCCAGAGTCTAACTCAACCTGCTCGGCATTTACTTCCTCAGCATCTGGCATATGCTGTCCCGGGATCCAAAGTCTTACCTGTACCTTTTGTGCCAGGCCAACCTCAACCTGGACTCCGGAGAGGTGAGCATGGCCCGAACTCCCCTTGTCCCCCGCGCCACCCAAGCCCCCAAACTCCCTGCCCTGGGCCTGGGAAAGAGGTTGACACTCTGGCACCTACTGCTTTCCAGGACCCTCAGCTGCTCCCCCTCACACCTCTTTCTAGCCCTCACTGTTCTACAGGGGAGGAGGTTTTCCTCGCTAGACTCTGTGGCCCCTGGTGTGTCAGCACCTTCTCTTCTCCGTCCCAGTGCACTTCCTGGGTTTGGACTCGGAGAACCCTGGCGTCCTTCGCTTTTCACATTCCAGACGTTTGACTTGATGCCGGCAAGGGGCAGGTGACACGGTCACTCGTCTTCCCTTCCCGGTGACTTGCGTTTAGAGAATCGGTGCTTTATCGTGTGCAGCCACAACACGCACCCCGTTTAGCATTCTAAGAAGGTGATGTCCATAGAGTGCTATTTCAGAGGGAATGTTGTTCATCCTAAGGGGGGGGTG